TACGTCCATACACTCACACACACATGCACACACAAACCACAACAAAAATCAAACCAACATAAAAAAAAGAAAAAACCCAAACAAAAGTATTAGATTCTAGTAACAGGAAAGACACATTGTCTCTTAGTAAAATTCGTGTAAAAAACCCCGCAACAACAATCAATGTAACTTTCCTAAAATAACAAACTCAAACTTAAGCCCCCTTTGCTGATTAGTGAGGGTGATTGGTAAACGACACTGGAAAGTCTTATTTCTTTACTTTCCTTCTGTAATTTCTGTCAATTTGTCTAGTTCTTTCTTAGCACTAACGTTTCGTGTGCATCTTTTCACTTAGCCTCAATAGTTCCATTGCTGATCGCCATGATCTTGAGACCAGAGATTCTTAAATCAAGGATTGGGTTCTTTTACGTTGGTTTTTTTTTTGTTAAGTGTTTTACGGTGCTCGCAGCTGCATAATGTTATATATATGATCTCGTGGGACACATGAAACATTTTCAATTGGTTGGAAACTTTGAATTTTGCCCTGGTGGCGGCCGAAGCCTACTCTTATCGACTTAAGACAATCATCGAGGGATGCAAAGATTGGGGAAATAGGTTTTCTCCGTAATCATACTATTAACTATGATTAAGATTCATTTTTCCGCTCAAAGTGGACTAGTTTTAAACAACAGATTTGGGACTAATGTTGTTTTTCCATCAGAAGTGTTTGCAATTATACGTACCATATTTCGTAAAAGTATTAAAATTAGCAGTTAACAAGTAAAACGGGCATTTTCCTCCTCGTGTAAAATTATTAACAGATCCCCCCTATTTCCGCTTCCCCAACCAACACCCCCCCCCCCACCCCCCCCAAATTTACAATATTTTCCAGCCCCACCCCAACTACTCCAATAAGCAAATACATAGACAAGTTAACAATCAAACAATCGGGCAAGCTCCCATAACTATTGAAAGCTTAGTGTAAATGTGTCTAAACGAATTCAGCAAGAACAACAACAATCTTATTAAATGTCCATAGAACGTGACAGATATTGCAATTATGATGTAACTATCAAAGGGATTTCCCCCTATATATTACTTTGCTGTCGGTTTTCTTGTTCCATATCGTTTCAACCGGTGACAGAACAATACATTCTTGAATTTCCCCATGTTATTTACAGTTTAGTAAGCTTAAATTCCCTTCTTATTCGTATTTGAAATGCTAATTAATGTTTTCTTGTAAAAAAACAAAACAACAAAAAAAACATAATTTCCCGCAAAAAAACAAACAAACAAACAAGCTAATGAAGAACAACTGAACTGAGGAGTTGGCAAGAAACAGAACAAAGCATTGCAAAAAGAATTGGGAGAAAGAATCAGAAACAGGATCAAAATGAATACATCAGATTACGGATCATTTCCCTTTCTGATTGATAACAACTCCGTTCAGATTAAAAAATTTCGTGGAGCTGCACAATTTATAACTTACTTCATCAACGTTTCTGCCAACCCAACAATGCATGATCAATCTATTAAATTGTTAATGTTCCATAAAAATTAGTAATTTTACTGTCTATCGCGGAGCCGCTCAATTCCCCCCTCCCCCTATTAATTTTTTCGAGTATGCTTTGACAAAACTTTGCTTGATTCCCGTGCCAACTGATTGTGCCGTAATTTGAAGAAGAAGAAGAAGAAGAAGAAGAAGAAGAAGAAGAAGAAGAAGAAGAAGAAGGAAAGAAACAAAAAGAGAAAGAAAGAAAGAGAGAAAGAGAGAAAGAAAGAAAGAAAGAAGAAGGAGAAGATGAAGAAGAAGAAGAAGAACAGAAAGAAGAAGAACGACTACAACAACAACAAAGAGAAAAAGAAAATCTACAAGAGCAACAACTTTAAAAAGAAAATATTGTTATCAATATTATTGTTGTTGTTACGTTATTGTTGTTAATTATTATTGTCATTATATTATTATTATTATTATTATTATTATCTATTATTATTATTATTATTATTATTATTATTATTGTATTAATATTATCATTATATTATTATTATCATTATATTATCATTATTATTATTATTATTATTATTATTATTATTATTATTATTATTATTATTATTATTATCATGATTATTATTATCTTTATTATTCCGTTGTTGTTGTTGTTGTTGTTGTTGTTGTTGTTGTTGTTGTTGTGGTTCAATATCATTATTAAATGTTTCGGAAAAAAAGTAAACAGAAAACAAAAATAATAAATGCATAATTAAGTTGACCAGTAAAACTGCACGTAATATTGTAAATAGATAGTCAGATAGATAGATAGATAGATAGATAGATAGATAGATAGATAGATAGATAGATAGAAAAAAATAAAGGATTGAGTAAATTAATACATAACAAGCCAATTTTGTCAAACAAAAGACAGAAAGAAAGAAATAAGTAATTGGAACATGAATATTTAGATGAGTGAATACAAGCAATAATTAAGAATGAACTAAGAAAAGGATATTTCTTACCTTAGCACACTTCCCCATGTTGCTGAGCTGCAACGAAATTCTAATCCAATTACTTCTGAACGCTTTGAATGAGATGAAACAGCCTCTCTGTTCTTGTAGTCTTTGTTTGGAAAATCACTGCCTTGCACAACAACAACAGCAAGATTGTTGAATAAATCAAACCGAAGTCATTTTCAAACGCAGCATATTATTATCTAACTCTTAAATCTATATTTTTTTTCGCAAAAGAAACTAAAAAAAACAAACTTGGATTCTTTTTTACCATCCAACCAGTTTATTTTACGAAATAATAAATGACTGGAAATTTTGAGCACTGAGCTTTTATTTGCTCGTGCTAAGACGCTTTTGCAGACATGTTTCGGTTAAAAAAAAGTTTTCTTCAACCTTCTGAAGGAAAATTTGAAAAAGACTGAAGAGAAAAGAAAGTAAGTCGAAAAATTATGCACAACCAAAAGTGACAAAATTCATAACTGATAGCCTAATGCTGTACAGGTAAACCGCTTCCCGAACAAACTGGTGAAACTGCACACACACCATTGTGTTTAAATATTACGGCACCTCCGGCCAAGTGTACCCATTCTCATGAGGGGGGTTCAAATTCACTAAATTACTCATTGACTCGAAATTCAACGTTTAGGGAAGTCCCGTAGCTAACAACCCTGGAGACCTCCAAAGCACCTCGCAGAGTTCATCGCTCGGACGTGAGCAAACAGTAAGTCGGAGGACTTCAAAGCCGCCTGATTGCTTCACGATTTGGACGGCGCGTGCTCACATGCCCAGGTGACCGTTTAACGCTTCCCGAGGCAACCAGGGATGTAAGCTGTGTGTCCACAGATTACCTGATCGGTAGTTTACAGGTGAACAAAGTGGCCCTTTCACCCTGTTTAGATAAGTAAACTAACGAAAAATATAACGTGTTTTCGCTACTTTGTGCATACGATCATTTTGTTGTTGACTTGATATCTCCTGTGTAACTCACAAACAAATAAACAATGAGTGCTTTCAAACAAAACAATCAGCTGCACATAACGGTGAATGCATGGTCACGTGTCACTTTCTTTTCGGACACTGGTCTTAGTTTTTAACATACCCAGTGAACACCCCCCCCCTCTACCATCACCCCACCCCCTATCTCCCTCTCTCGCTCGCTCTCACTCTCGCTCTCTCAAAACAGGTATTCTTTAAATTAGTGTTTATTCAAAGAACAACAAGAAAAACATTCAATAACAAAGACTTTGCGTCTTGTGAGCAAGCGGCTATTTTAAGGTGCTTTGATAAAGCCAAATGTTTTGAACTGATTAACCACGAAGGTACATAAATTACGACCTTTACAAAATCGGAAATGGATAACATATAAAAGGGATATAGCTAAATAGCATTTTGCACCTATTATGTACGTCTTTGTAATAAAAGCAAGTAAAAAAAGAACATAATACTACCAAAACGTTCACATTTTTGCTCCAACTGTCCTGGACCAGATTTGATACTTAGTCTTCATCATTTTCGCAACTTTTGATTCCTAGTTTTTGAGTTACTGTCATTTACGTCTTTGGTTGTTGTTTTTTTTTTACTTTGTCTGTCTACTGAAGGATATTGATTTAGCCCTACAACAACGACCTCCGCTCTGTTCTACAGGCTGTTCTCTGTATCCATGCTGTTCCCGTTCGCCTTCATGTTGTCATCTTGCCTTCTTCTTTCTGGTCTTCCTCTTGATCGTTTTCCTGTTCTTGGTCTCCATTCTGAGGTCCAGAGCCAGATGCAGCCGTCGAGGTCATTTCATCTGACTCGCCACGATACCATCAATCCAGGGGTAAAAATCTGTTTGTCTCTAACCTTGACGCTTGACGGGAGAAAATCATTGCGTACGAAACTTTTTGCCTTTGTTTGTTTTTTTCTCCTCTGTTTCATTCTTCGGTGAAAAAAAAAACAACCCAACAAATGATAGAGATAATTGATTTTGAAACAGTAGACGAAATATCATCAACAACTATCAAACATACTAATAGCAACAAGTAACACGTGTTACATATACCCTGCTTCTAAACCATAAAATCAAGATAGTAATATCTTTATTGCATTTTTAGGTTTAAAAAAATAATGTTAACAGTGATCATGCCATGAGAGCGTTTTCAAGTCCAACTTCGCCTTCATTAGCCAAGTTATGGGAACTTTTAAAAAGTAAGATAGCAACACTACAGTTACATCTTTGCACTGTCCTCTTTCCTGAGACAGGCAGAGAGCTCGTTTTTCTCATAATGCTATCGGCAAAAGCCTTTGACATTTAGCAATAATAACATAAGCCCTACAAACGAGGTAGCAAGAGTATAGCGAATAGTTGTGGAGCCGTTTGCAAATAGCCATTCATTATCTGCATAAAGTGCAAGCAGTTGAACCTTAAGACTCTGAGTCAGCAAATGTAAGAAAAGAATTTTTTTTTCCTTGTTATTGTTTTTCTTACGACATGCGGCAGATTTTTTTTTCTTTCGCGTGTCTACACTCAAGGCTCTCTAGTTTACCCAACCGTTAGCCTGTTGATGTTGCCTGGGGTAAATCAAACGCCTCTCGACAAGCTTGTCTAATCCTTGTCTTTTGTAAAAACAAAAGTTCTGCCTTTAAGTCCCATTTAAAAATGGTCACATACGTAAAAATAAAATCAGTTGTGCTGGAGGTTAAAAATCCATTAGTCTACTTACTACCCGTGAGATCTTGCAGGAGAACGCAAATAAGAAGAGTCCTCTTTTACATAGAAGCGTTGGACATATTTCCATGTCTATTCTGTGGATATAGGTAGGTTACTAAATTTGGTCACATCTGACCAAGCTGACATTGGCAGGCATACTATTCCTTTTTGAAATTTTTTCTGTCTTCATCAAGTCAACTAGGCGCTCAGTGCCATGTCATCGAAGGCACAAAGGATGGATAACCTGAAAGTGAAAGATGTAAGGCGAACCTATCCAAGGCGACCACCCAGTGTCAAAGATCTTGGTCTTGTCAGTTTGTTAGTGTTTGAGCGCTTAATCGGCTGCTCGCACTGTATGCTTCTCGGGAAGCTGAGAATGTTTCGGAGTGTTCTATGGTCTGCTGGGGTAATAATAGTGTAAAGCGCCTAGAGTCTGCTGTTGAGCGGGGATATGCGCTATACAAATGCTATCTATTATTATCATTATTAAAGAAAAGTGGTATTCTAAGAGGTGGTCCTCTTGGACAATGTAACTTCTATATTTAAAAAACACAAGAAAGGGTAGTGGGGCGTGGTGATTACAATGTGTTTAAGTGATTTTCTTAAACTGGTGGTCGCTAGAGCAGTTCCGATTGTAGAGAGATAGATAGATAGAATGATAGATAGATAGATAGATAGATGGATAGATATGTATGTGTCTGAGCGTATGCGTATGCTTGTGTGTACGTGTGTGTGCGTGTGTGTGTGAGTGTGTGTGTGTGTGTGTGTGTGTGTGTGTGTGTGTGTGTGTATGCTTAATTGTGTCTAGGAGAATGAGAATTTAAAAAGAAAAGAAAACGAGAGAGAGAGAGAGAGAGAGAGAGAGAGAGAGAGAGAGAGAGAGAGAGAGAGAGAGAGAGAGAGAGATGGGATTAGGGCGAGGAGTGGCGGACTAGAATTGGAACAATGGCTTCAGGCTTTAGTGGCGATAAGCCCGTTTCTCATCCGACTCACACGGTTCACAGATACGTGTGTACTACGCAAACGTAAAGACGCACGATGCACATCCTGCCGACGTCAGCAGCCACAACAACATCCCCCCATCTCCCCCCCCAAACCCCCCCCCCCCAAAATCAATAAGCTTCATAATTGCCATCCTCAATATTATTACCTCCAATCCCCCTCCCTTCAATCATAATGATACTACATGTTGAACGTCTACTTCTGATTTGTGTCTTGTAAACAAAGCAACAAGTTACCTTGTATAGTAAGGACGTCCTTTAGTTACGTGTTTTAGGTGTCACACGCAGAAGACCTGAGATGGTTTCCCGAAAGTGGAGTGTGTTTTTTTTTTTAAAATAAAGATTATTTCCGTTTGTTCGCTGGCTCGTTGTAACAATGTCAACCCGAGACTATGGCTCTGACAAGTAGGGCCGAAGCAGCCCGCCTCCTATATGATCTAAATCGTTTCCATGGGGACATAAAACATGTCCTATTGCTAATTACTTGACGTAAGTGTGTGTGTGAACTGCTACGACTGGCAAATTTTTGTTAGTAACAAGCAATGATTAAGAGCGTCTAATCTGTGAATGCCAATATCTGGTCAAACATTAATAATAATAATATAATAAATGACAGTAATATACTGCTCAACCACGATTAAAGTACACAGGCTCTGAGCGCTTTACAATACAGTACACTGTACAACGTACAACAGTAATATATAACGTTGTGTTCTGACCACACAAAAAAATCACTCCAATTATTCATCGTATTAATTAAAAAACAGAAACGATTTTCAGCTGACATTTGAATGAATCAAAAGATTTGATCTCTCTTTAAGTACTTGGTAAAGAATTCTACATCTTGGGGCCTTGGTGTTCAAATGCCCTTTTACTCATTGTTTTAAGTTTCATAGATGATAAAATAAATCTCTTTTTGTCAACTGTTGACCTTAAACTGCGAGTTGGAATATTCATTAACAAGAAGAAAACAGATAACGGCGTCTAAGACCTGGACAGAAATAAAAACAATTATTCTAAAGGTATCCAAGTTCTTCGAACCACAAGGGTTATTCAATACGTTGTCTACCACGCAAAAAATCCCCAGCGCAATAAAAGAACAAAATGTTTTCTGACCACTGCCTTTTTACGTGGTCACATAGATTAATTCTTCTTTTTCCCTGTTTAGAATAAAGAAACTGCCCCTGCAGCCACTCAAAACGAAATGTTAAAACATCGAGCAAGTGTCAGACTATAAATATTTGGGTGTTACAATAGACAACAAACTCAACTGGCGTGTCCACACTTCTCTCCTGCATAAAAAAAGTGAACAAAAGACTATTTTTTCCAAGAAAGCT